CACACGTACAGTTGTGGCCAAGATGTTAAGATCTTAACATGGGTTGGGTTATATTTATTAAATGAGATTGAACAAGGAGCCATTTGTTACCTTTCTGTTATATTACTGCAGGTTTTTTTTTATTTTGGATTTTCAATTCCACATTTCAGCCGTTCAACCCACGGTCGCTGGCTAAATTGTAAGCGTAGTTGTGGTGGCCGTTGTAGTTGCAGTCATGCCTTGAATTTCGCTTTGATGGTCGCCGCATTCGCATAAATCAATAAAAGTGCAGCCGCTCAAGAAGAGGAAGAACGAGAAGCAGCGGCAGAGGCAACAACAATTACAACAGCAGCAACAACAACTGCCAAAGGAGTACCACGAAAAGCTAGGAAAATGCAGCGAAATTTCGCTGTCTTGACAGATAAGGAATAATTTGGTGGATACTAGATAAAAGCTATCAACTTTAATAAATTTCAGATGGCGGAAGGCAACATAATTTTGTTCCTTCTACGCACTTTGCCGCATATTTTAGCTTTCATAAAACTTACAAAGAATGTATATAAACATTTAGATTTGGTAACGATTTGAACGATCCGCTCAGACGCTCAGAAGCGTAGAGCACCTAATGATATATAATGGTTATTCGGTTTCGGTTTCAAAAACAACAAATTGCAATTTTTACGACTGGGAATCTCGTGACGAATGAAACTTTCTTCCTCCAAACTGCCGATAAGAATCAGTGAACAAGTTTAAAATGTCATCGAACGGCAAGAGAAAAATCCCAAATAACCGAAATAGACTGAAAATCAAAAAATGCACACAGGTCGTTGGAGGTGGGTTCCATAAATTTTCATTAGAAATGCGCGCGGCAGCAGCTAAATGATAAGAGACTTTATGACCCTCGATGATATAAAATCTGGCTTTAATTGAAAATAAAAACCTAAAAGAGCTGGAATTATTGAAATGAAATTTAAATAATTTTTGATGAAACACTGTTTTTTTTTCTTAGGGAGCATCAAAGTTGCGTGGAAAAAGAAGCAAGCAAAGGGAATCATCATAAAGAAGACTATATCTACATCTGTTAAATTAATGCATCTTCTTCGCTCCATGTACACCAAAACAAATTTGCTGAACTAGGTTAAAACTTTTATATATTGGGCTAAAACAAAATTGTATTAATCGGTAAATGTTTGTAAATACGAAAAACTCTTTACGTATGTTCCTTTTGGTACCTATCTCTTTAAATGACTGCTTCAAGCTGAAGATCAACAACATTTTTGCTTCAGTGCATGGCCTTTTATTGGCCTCTCTTTCGCTCCGTGTGTGTGTGTGGTAAAAAAAACGTTGATTTTTGTCGGTTTTAATATTCGTGCTACCGTTAGAATCAACAGCGCAGAGTGGTGTGGAAAATTCGTGGAAAGGGGGAGGGAAAATGGTAAGGGGGCGGCGTCAAAGTCGACGCTTCGCCAGCGCCGGCGTCTCTTTGGTAAAACATTAATTAAATTAATTAACCAACTCGTGCCAAGAATTTCATACCGAAGAAGTAGATGAGCAGATGAGCAGCAAACCAAAAAAGAACATATCTATGTACGTTGAGCCATAGTCGTATAGCACAGTATAGTCGTATATATATTCCAGACATCGCCTCGGAACGCATAATTAATGCGCTCAGTGCGCAGAACCAGATTAAAGTGCGCCTTGGCCACACACATATATACAGATACATATGTATCGCTACATATAGCACCATCCTTAGCTGCTTGCTGTTAAGTCAGTCATCTGTGGTGAAAGATCGGATCCGTCTTCCGGCAATTTAAAGTGATTCTTTCAATTTAATAATGCCGAGTTGAGTGGGTTTTTACTTTTAATACTACTTTTCCCGGAATTAATGGGTTTTATGATTTATTAATGAGGCGAATTTAAAGGGCTCGTTATTTATTGCTTCATTTTAAATTGGCAGAATAACCGTTTGCTATCTGAAACAATTAGTTCTATTGTCTAATTTAATCCCTTTTCACATTTGATTAATCCAATATTTAATCCAACAAACTTGAACCAATTTTGTAGGCCTTTTGTTGGCCGCTTCTCGCATCTCTACCTTAAGGGCCAACGTCAATTAATCTTGGCCAACACGAAGATGCCTCTGAATACGTTTTCCATATCCGTTAGTAGTTTGGAATGTGAAACCCGGACAAAAAGAGGCAAAATATCGCGACACGTGCCAAGTGAGCCACACAGCCAGCGAGACATCAATCAATTGCGCTGATTGAATGCATTCGAAACCGAAACACAACAAAAATAAAGAAAGGGGGATCTGCGAAAGTAAATAAATAAAAAATAAACGCACAAAAAAGGCAGCCTCTAACAAAGTGTGAAGTTGGATATAAAGTGGCGCTTAATTGCGGGCGATTAATGAAGCAAGAATCCCCAAGGCCCAAGCCTCAACCCCCCATTCCCCAAATCCAATGCCCAGTTTCGAGGTGCCCAGGGCAATCGGCTTCTTTTTTTTTTCTAGTGTAGTCGCTCTGCTGTCGTCGCCTGTGTCAGGTGTCATGTGTCAAGTGTCAGGTGTCAGGGCAAGGGGCAAAAGTTTAACGGTTCTCCCAGCCACCAATCAACGCAAGAAACCCCCCTAAAAAAAAAGAAAAAAAAAAACCCAAATGAAAAACGAAACAATCCAAAAAGCTTACAACAAAATTAACACGAAAATCGCCGGCAGCCAAATGGCCAACGAACTCGACTCCAATCCATTGGCAATTGGAAGGTCGGCGTCGTCATGAAAATGTTTACATATACATACGAGTATATCCTACACTTTCAATATATGGGTACAAAAATAAAGGTAAAATAAAGCTTTATCAAGTGCAATAAACCATAAACTGATGGAATCCCAAATTGAATAAAACTATCGAAGATAACTGCAAAGGCTGAATATGAAATACTCGTTGCGTGCGTAAGACGACTATTGTAATACCCTAGGTACCCATCATAGTAACTTATTTAACCAATTTTATGAAACTCTTTTCATAACGAAATACAGAATTCAAATATAATACGCATTTTCTAAGATTCCTGTTCTTATTTGCCTCTCGGCAAAGTCTTAAGGCTGAGATCATTTTTGTCATGGATATTTTTATGTGATGACCATGTCACGATCGTCGGTGGGATTAGAACAAACTTAAGCTTAAATTGTGCAGATGTGGAGGATATCTTTGGTATTGGTATTGAGGCTTTCCAGGAATATAGCACTGATCCACACCCACGATACTGTGTAGTAGTCAGTCAAAAAATCTGGCACAGTGTTCGCATATTGAACACCTCTTTTTGCTTCCGATTCTACATATTGGATTCTCCAGTTCTCCGATTCTCCGTGACACAATTTCGAATCAAAGGAGCGAGGGGCGACGGAAGTATGAGACTTCGTGGCCCGCCGATTAATATGGAGAACGAACAGCACTTGCCGCAAATGGTGTGCCAACTTCCGACCATAAGTACGTCTATATACAAAACGAAAAAGCCGGCGAGAAGAAGAGCCCCAGCCATAAATCACAAGAGCGTATGTTGACAACACTGGCAGCATGACAATTGCCACCTGCTGGGCCGAAAGGAAATCCCATTAATGACAAAATCAATAAATTCATAATTCCATCCAAAGCAGACATCACAAATGTAAAATAAACAAATCGAGAAGATATACACAAAACCGTACGAGTCAGGCAGACAGGCATGCCGTTAAATCAGCGCCTTAAATACAATATTAAATTAAAGACTCTCCAAATTCTTCGCTGCGAGGGGACAGCAACCAAATAATTAAATGGAAACTCAACGGGAGAGGAGGCGGGAATGAAATTGATTTGTCAGATAAATCAAAGAGTGATCTATACAACAGGGTCTGCATCCCAGAAAGCAGAAACCAAAGCTTGCACAAAGAATTCAAACACTTTGTTCGTAAGTTCGATTGTAAGGACTGAAGGGGGTCGAAATCCCAAGATTAAAGACTTGGGATCAAAATACAATATTGAAGAAAAGTTCGAGTTTTATCGTCTTCGATTGAAGATTATAAGTCATAGAATAAATGGGGTTAGCAGATGTGACAAATAACTTTACTGCCTTAATAAATCCTTCATCTAGCTTCTATTAATTAATTACGTTTGACTGTGACTAAAAATCAATTAAATAAGAACCACTGCTGCTGCATTCGAACGGATTATGCAATCACAATCTGCCGCGTGATTTCTTCCGGAAAAGTCAATCAGTCCATCACTCAATCGACGATTGAAGGAAGCCAAACAGTTGGCAGTCTACAGACTGCAACTGCCGTTGCATTAATCACCCAATGCTATGCAGGCAAATCAGAACCGATCCATCGGATCCATCGCACTCGTCATAATTACCGATGATAGCTCGACTCAATTCAACTCAACTCAGCTCAACTCGACTCAACTCGACTCAACTCGACTCCAACGTGTCATGTCAAGCCCCCCGATCTGCGATCGTTCCCCTTTGTATTGCCTAATTGAAATAATGCCGCCCGTAATTGAATCAATTAAATCGGCGGCCAATCAGCGCCAGCGAATGAATAACACCAATGATGGGTATCTATGAGTAGCGTCTTTACAAAAAAAGCACTGCAAGACATTCGTCTTAATATTTAAAATTAAATATCAATAATAATTGATATTTCTGATTCAAGGCTTACCATTCTGTTATCAGGCTGCTTGAATCCTTGCCAGTCTTGGTAATGTGAACTTCGAAACCTGCATTGATTAAAGAAATAAAGTGAAGATAACATGTTAAAAATGTATTCTATAACAATTAATGATTACATTTATGAAATCCCAGATGCATAAATTGCCCAAACCTATTAGGGAGCTGCTAATGGAATATTCCCCACTTTCAGGGCACTTCGAATTCAAGTCACGACCCAGATAGTGAGTCATTCGACCCCAGCAAACTGCTGGCCATCTGTCTACCGTAGTCTGTAATTATTTTGGTATTTGCCGCATTTCGAAATGAATCGATTTCGAGACACACACACTGACGCACACCGATAGACACGAGCAAATTGAATTGGCTACTCGAAAGGAATAAGGGATTGTGAATGGATCTGGCCGGGATCAGCTTGTGGCTTCTCCTGCTCCATTTCAGCCGCATCCCGCCCATCGCTGGTCACTACAAATGCAGGGAATGTGAACAGTACAAGTTCAAGCTGCCGGAGAGATGCAAGTACGTGAGGGAGGCGGCTCAGGTGTTTGAGCGAAAGTGTGGCGGCACCTATCCACTAATGGCATTCACCAAATATCGGGATACCTTTATAAAGACCGGCGAGCCATTTGCCCTGTACATGCCGAGCTCCTTGGATTACGTGATGGTGCTGATGAAGGATTCGGCACTGCAGCATTGTGCGCGTATTCAAGTGGGCAATACAAACATGTTCTTTTGCCTGGACGATGTCAACAATGAGACAATCAAACTGGACGTGGCCCACATGTATTGCTTCCCATTTCACATCCAGCTGCCGGATGATCTGATGCAGGAGTGCCTCAAGGAGAACAAGATGACCGATGGCTATCTGAACGATGTACTCCGCACCCGGCGCGGCATCATCCACTATACCTTTGGCGATAGTCGGGGCCATCGGCTCATTTGCGGATATTTCTGGCCGAAGCTCCTGCTCCTCGTGCTTCTCCTGCCATCGATGATGAGTCGTAAATTTTTATGCGAGCTGCCATAAAGATTGATCGGTTAAGCCAAAAGGGGATGGCATTTAGTAAAATTGCTAAAACAAAAACGCTAAAGCTGAGTAAATATACTAAGTATACTAAGTATATATATGAATTGCCATGCTTATCGGTGGCCTTGCTCCTGGCCATCTCCTTGCAGCCGCCGCCGCCCCTTGTTGTGTATTTATTTTATGGCAAAAACAAATGAAACTGTATTAACGCATTGTTTGTTTTCATTGGACGGCGGAGGGCAGTCTTCTGGCTTCCCATGGAAGGCAAACCTCTTCCGCCTCTCAGGAATGCAGGAGCAAACGATCTTGTTATGTCTTTATATTGCTGATTAGTTTTCTGATCTTTTATGGTTCTTACACATTGATTTCCATATGGGAAATGAAGTGATAAATCCAATTAAAATTAGCCAAGCGTAGCGAACATAGCTGTGGATGGCTGTCTAATTAAAAACATTTTCCCTTGCACCCTTCTGGTCAGGTTACACATGTATGAGTTCCATCTGACCACATCACGTTGCAGTTCGTGATCCAAAGATTGGTCACCTGCGGCTGCCTGGCGTGCGTACTCGCCAAATTTCCATCCACATTGCAAACCTAAATCGCGATCGCCGGTCCGCGGTATTCTCATATCCAAATCTCCAAGTCTCGGTCCTCTAATCCCCATTCATCCGGTCGTTTGTAGTCGCGTCTAGCGGTTTCCCCCGACTGCAAGGAAAAGCCTTGGCGCGACCATCGACCAGATTGTCAATGCGGCGATCTGAATGCAGAACGTCAGCATCGGCATCAGTATCAGCATCAGCATCAGTATCAGATATATACATATATATATATAGCGAGTAGTCCAGTTCGATCGCTCTGCGGCGATTTGCATTTTGGGCATTGGCCCGGGTTAAGGAGAATCATGGGTTTCAGCAACAGTTGTGTTGTTGCACAAATGCCGTTGTCCGCACAGTGGTCGCGATTACCAATTAGTCAGGGGAAAGAATTTAGCAAAAGCATGCAATTATCTAACGAGGTGTCTGAAAGTATGCAACACCTTACCTTGAATATGACGCAAAAATGGTCTGGCTTAACAAGTCGTATGCTTCGATTTGATCCACTGTGCCACAAGAAAAGCACCCACATGCAAGTGGCTTTTCTTCTACTTGCCGTGGTTTCGGTTGTTTTAAATTTTCTCCTGGTATTCATAGGAATTTCCAATTGATTTTCAGTTTCTATTGACCGCACCGCACCGCAGTTGTCACGTGTTGGCCAGCCCCCTCCCCTGCCTCGCTGCATTTTTCCACGCCCCTTTCGCCGCACAGCCCCCATGCGGCCCACACCAGGATCCCTTGCCCCATCAACTCATTACGCATCTGGCACACTTGAGTTCAATCAAATGCCAAATGCTGCAGCAGGTGGGGTCTTTCCCCAACTCCTCGCCACTTTGTGTTTTACGGGGATAATTGCGCAAAGGCTTGGGAAAGATCTGTCCAGCCATTTGCATAAATTTCCCTTGCGGAGGCGAAGACTCCGGAGGAGGGGAGCGACCACACAAACTGGGACTCTTGGGGACCTGAGACCTGACTTCATCCTCCACACGAGAAATAATTCTTACACACAAGTATTTTCGCTACACTTGAATATGGCATTCTGATTTTTAGTTGCTATAGCTCGATGGAATTTTGTGAAACGAGGAAGTGAGGCTTAATAATTTGAAACAAATATAAAAGCTATTTTTAGGGAATTTAAATATGCTAATAAGCTCCTCTTTTTTCGGTGCAGCCAAATGGTTGGCCAGTGCCTAACCATGTCATAAACAATGATTAGGCGGCTGCTGGTGGTTCTAGAGATGCTAGTGGTGCTAGTGGTGCTAGTAGTGCTAGTCGTGGTGTGTATTAAAACGGTTTCCATGTTGCAAATGGTAGCGATCATCCTCCTCCTGCTGCCGCCTCCCCCTTCTCTCACCCATCCAGGCAGGAGCTCCGATGGCAGTGAAATTGCATTATAAATTAATTAGTCAACTATTTTAGCAGCACACCTGTGAGGGGCGACCGGACAGGTTGGGAGGTTGCTGGAGAGAATCTCCCATAGACGGAGTTTTTCAGAACAAATCAGGCAGCAGAAACAGTAGTCACCAAAGACGGACATCTCCGGGGGCTTTGGGAACACTGTGACCGGCTACCAAAGAGATTCCCCACAAGTGAGTTTTGTTTCGCAGTTTCGCGGAATGTTGCCGCTCATTATATGTATTTAGCTATTTGATTTCCCTAATGCTTTCCGTGAGCGATATTTATTGTATACCATAGTTCAATTTCAACTTGATTTAAGGATTAATGAAAGGATTTATCAAAACTGAAATAGGTTTTCTGCAGTAATGACTTTTTAAAAAATAGTTCTGTGCACTATTTCCATAACTTAAAATAGTTTATATTATTAATTGCTGAATCTTCCCACACGTGCCGCTAATCTGCTCGGCGGCGGCAATCAAAGTGAAATTCTGTGGCGATTCGGACACGCCTACTTAGTGGCAGCAATTAGGTGGCCGACTATTAAATGGAATCTTAGTTATTCATATGGACGTCAGCGACGGCACCTTAACAGAAGGAGATCGATGGGTGTGGCAAATCGGCTAAGAAGACTGGTGGCAAGATATCTAAATTTAGTGGGGGCCTACTGAAAGGGACATTAATCAGTCGATAAGTCAGTCTCGGGGTTCTTTTCGTCTGGGAAATAATTAAAACATTCTCTTTGCTGGTGACGAAGGAAAACTATTCATGCCCAGAGATCGGACATCTTGGCGTTAAAACAATAAGCGGCCAATAAGTCAAACAAAGCGAATATGCAGTTAGCTTAACGGTCGAGCGTGAAGAAAAACATAAATAAAGTTTGTCAAAGAGCCCAAAGAGCTCTCGTATCGAGATAAACAAATTTACAGTCAAGCATCGCTAGAAGCTCTGGAAAATGTGTAATTGTCCATGGCTAGAAATGCACATTATATGATGGCATTCCACTATATTGTCTGAATATAACACAAATATATATTGGCGGAATTCCGATATCATTTCGATTATGTTTTATCTATTCTATCTATTTCGATATTAATATTCAGATTAATCTATTAAATATTTAGCCAGATCTTGTTCTGAAAACTACCATAGCAATCGCAGATTAAAGGCACGTTTCCCTGTCCATCGATGAAGATCTTTGACCGCCAATCGATTTCGTTTTCCGACGTCCCTGACACATGAACTTTGACAATTAATGGAACACGAACGAGAGTAAAAGAATGGCCCCCAAAAAATGTGGACGGCGGAATGGCGGGTTTGAAGAAAGTACCGTTCGGCGGGGGGCATCTTCCTCAGCAGCTTTTCGGATCTTTTTGGCTACTTTGGGGGCTACTTCTGGGCCATTGTCACCCCAGCGATTTGTGGCAACAATAGACAATTTGAAATCTTGATCGAACCTTTTGTTCGGTTCGTTTCGCTGTTCGTTGACTTTTGTCACCATCGCCCATCGTCGGCAATATAGAAAAATACAAAAATACAACAAATAAATCGATTCGATACGATTAACAGCCCCGTCTGTCCTACAAACCATCGCAATCGGTAATGCACCGCCCCTTTTCTATTTCGATTCCACAAGTGCTGTTTATTTTTAACAATATCGACACATTCGCAGACGCATTGTGTTGCGGATTTGTTTGATTTCTGTTTTCTTGGGATTATATCATCTTGAAAGGGCTGTGGCTTTGTTTCCTTCGTGGCCAGTGTATATCTGATAGAAAATTGGTTTCATTTCATTTCTTAGACGATTTCAATATACACGTATTTGTTGTCTCCTTATTTTTTGCAATCTATTTTTGGCCCCTTTGTCCCCGACTTTCGTCTTATGCAAAGTGCGTGAAGGTGACTGGACTCTGGCCTTTATTTTCATATTTCTTTACTAATCTCCGCCCGTCCACCACCCCACCAATAGGTAAACGTTTCTCTTGGCCCTTTTGTTTGGAATTGGCAAGTCTGCTTGGCTCGTTTCAATAGTTGGTTACTCTTGGTGTATTATATAAGTCATGGAATACAGCTAAATCCGCGAATAAAGTTAGTAAATTGATATTTGTATTTCAGGAACGCAGTTCGAGACACATATTCGTTTCATTCAGCCTTATTTCAACGGCGCATTCAGAAATTGCTGGCTGAATATGATTTATTTGAATTTACCTGCCTCGAATACGAGCCTACATTTGTGTACATCTATATTTGGGCGTGGCTTCCATCTCGTTAGCAGCGTCACCTGCAGCATTAATTAAGCAACAAATGGCAGCAGGCATGCCTCAAAATGGACTCGCGCTGGATGAGTGGAAAAATGAAGCTATAGAACGAACGAAAGCGTGAATCTCGGGGAGCCGGGTATCTGGGGATCCGGGCGGGCAAAGACATTCATAGATGCCCAGGAGAGATTGCCGCAACAAGATTCTTATCACCGGCAACTGCGATGGAGCTTGCCACCTGCAGCCTGCAACATCAACAGCATCGCGGCAAAATCTAGAGCCTGTTCGGGAATCCGCAATCCGTGGCGATGATAAAGTTATAAAAAACGGAGCATTTCCGATTAAGTTGATTGTCGAAAATTTGCAAACAGATGAAATATTTCAGCAATGTGATTTAATGGTTGTGTGGTGGCATCCACACGGTAATTGCAAACGCCAGCGGGGCGTTTTGCAATAGCAAAACAAAGCACACTTCGAAAAAAAAAGTACCCAAAAACAAATTGTAGGCAACGAGTGCCCAAAAAACTTGCACCCATTTTTAAAACTATAAATATTTATAAAGTGCAAGTAGGGTGAAAGGATCTATACTGAACCAACTTATTGAGGCGATAAAATAAAACTGTAGCAGCTTGATCTATTTTTTCGAGTGCCGTGGCAACCTCTACGGTCCAGATTCGTGGCTACCGCAGTTGTTGGCCACCTGTTTTGTCATCCATTAGCCATCTTCCTCTGCAGCGAACCTCTTGCTCGCCTCTTTGTCTCTG